TGACCAGACCTTGGTCACGTCGTGAACACAACAAAGATAGTCCCAATATCCTCCATCGTCACATCGTGATACTATTCAGGTCACGACGTGACCATAATCTTAAGCAAAATCCTTATTGTTTGAGTCCTTAATCTATTAAGTCTTTAACTCTAACTTTCTAGAAGGTTTTAAGGGACTCCAAAAGGTCCATAAAAATGACAACTTTATGGACATGCATGCTCCATGCATGTCCACTACCCATCTTAGGTCAAAAGGCAAGAAAATGACCCAAACTTCATGCAAGATTCAAAATCCACAACCAATCCTTAGATCCATAAGCTATGATGCTCAAGGGACTCTGGAGGATCATAAAATTGCTAGCTTTATTCCATCCATTCACTCAAATCAAAATCATGAACCAAAAAGGGACCAAAACAACTTAGATCTAAGAGAAATTACCAATAAAGGTAGACGCTTGAATCCTTGAAAATGGGCTAGTAGATGATATCAAAGATTAGAAAGTGTTGCTTGCTTGATCCTTGCACCACTCATCCTTATACTTCATTTAAAAGAGCACCAAAACCACTAAAAATGAGCCAAAACCACCAAAATGAGCTAGGGTTAGGTTTTTTTTTTATAGGTTTGAGGGAGACAAATGTTGAGAAATGAACCCTAACATTTGAGTTTAGGGTGCTTAAATACGAAGGAAACCCTAAAAGATCATGAGTTGGGTTGTAGTCCTCTTCACGTCATGACCAACTATATGTCACATCATGATCACTCCTCCAGATGTGTGTTCTTTTTCTTCATTCGTCACGTCGTTGAGAGACTAGTATGCTCAATAGTCATATTAAAATGATATTGCTAAATAATATATGATCCTAAGTGTCACACTAACGACAACTTGATACAAATGATCATTTATTAGATATTGATTTTGATAAATAGTCATAAACTCTTATAATAATAGGAAAAATATTTATTTCAGGGAAATAATTATTTTACAATACAAGTAACACTTTATTTCATATGGTATCAATATAATATGTCATGTACATCTTTTTGGACCTAATAAGCCTTTTGTCTTTTAGCAAAAGACAAAATTTATATCTTATAAACTTTGAGTTTATAAAATATAAACTCTTGATTTGTCTTTTCCTTCTTGGAAATATGAGATAAAGAGAAAAGACCTTTGTATTGGTATAATGCAAAAAAATTAAATCAAGGGTGATATGTTCATGACATAAAGGGGACAAAGTTGTCTAAAAGTACTTAATGGTTAATGACTATTGGACCATAATTTTGTTATAAATAAGAGGTGAGTGTTCTCATTTTTCTATATACTTTTCTCCTTGGCTGAGAGTACCTTCTTCCCTCTTTATCTTCTCTTAAAAGTCTTGAACTTTGAAGATTTAGTTGCTTACATTCTCTCTTTAAGTCATAATCTTGTTTTGGCTTAGAAGCTTACGAGTTGTAACTAACATTACATCAAGTTGGCACATAGGGTTCATCCTCACTCCATCAACTTCCAAGCCTCCCCTAGAGGACTCCAAGTTCTTCAAAGGTTGTTACCACTTCTTCCTTATATGATTGTGTTTTAATTCTTTCCTTTACTTGCAAGATGATCTTTGGTGGGTGATAAAATGTTTATGTTATTTTCTACAACTCAAGCCTTCCATTTGCCATTATTTGTAGTTTTTGAAACTAGTTTTTTAAATAAAACCCAACAGTCGTGACCTCCTTATGGTCATGTCGTTACTCATGGTTGTTTCCTAAAAATCATGCCTCTGACTCCTTAATACCCCACACTAATCCACTCTTGAAACTGGGTGTTACAACAATGGAGAGAGTTTGGATCGGATCGGCCTTGATCCAAACCCATTAAGCAATTTTCAAATGCTGATCCAAAACCCGGCCTATAACCCACATGCTTTTGAATAATTAAACTCATATCCTTATCCACTAGATCAAAGGATTTCAACCCTTTTACCCAACCCATTTACAATATCAAGATTATGATATAATTATGCCTTACAACACATATAACTTGAATCGCTGAAACCATACAATTTGAGAAAATGTCACACAATTACAGACATGCAAGCGAAAATGACACACAATTCGAGTAGATTTCAATAACACATGATTTCAGTAAGGCACGATTTTAATAAGTCCCTGGATTTTAAGTCATGATTTTGGCACAATAACATAAGATTTCAATAACCAGTAAGACAACAACAAACAATACCAATAACACACAATTGAAGTAGAGAAGATGATATTAATCAATTTTATTAGAATTTTAGAAAACAAACCTGACTGTGGAATGTCGATTGCAGAAAACCCTTTTACGAAACGAGATAAATTGAACCCTTTTCTTCTTGTTCTTGGTTGTTGTCTTTGACTGTAATACTAATTTAATATATTTATTTGTATTGGGAGTCGACTGGAATTCGACCATTAGGAAATGGGTAGTGGAAGTGGAATGATTGAACTCCTCGAGTCCTGTACATAACATTTTTTGGTGATAAATATACAACTTATAATTAATAAATTTATATTTTAAAAATTTTAGACGGAGGGGGGAAGGGGAGTCATAAACGGATCAGATCAATAGTGATCCGTACCCAACCATTTTAATAAAATGGTTAATGGGTACGGGTAATTAAAAGGTAAATGAATCATAAAATATGATCCAAACCCATTAAATTTGCATGAATTTGGAGTGGATGAGGGTCAAAACCCATCCTGTTATCAGGTGAACCTGATATGTCTGAGACCCGTACTCTTTTAAAAAGAATTTGCAATTTGGCATCCGGGTCTTTTTAATATATACAAATCATACTAATTGTAAATGTTAGGCCACAAATTTTGTTAGTTTTGAATTCCTTTACGAATTTCGAAACATTTTTTTTTTCAAAACAACTATTATTAGTTATGAATTACTTTTAAATTTTGAAATACCTTCTCAATAAAAGTTGACAACTAGTTTGTAAATTTCCAAATATTTCAATCGTAAACTTCTTATCAGTTTCGAAATACATCATTTGCGAAATTATTCAAACAATCCCCATACTTCTCCATCTTCAATATTTTTAAACACATTGTCCAACTTTTAATTTGAACGAATATAAATCTTTGTAAAATCATTCATGACGCGGATTGTTGTTTGTTAGTATTTATCAAAACCATATTCTTAATAATTTGTTTTTTTTCTTCAATCATATACTACATTTTATTTGATTATGAATAGATTAAACTCTTGTAAAGTTATTCATTTATCATCTTGCTGCTTGCATTTATTTATCGAAAGAAATTATGTTTTATCAAACTGTTGTTTGCTTTCGATCACATTCTATGTTTGATTAATTAAATAACTCGTAATTTTTTATTAAAATAAATTTACATATGATACATAAGTGTTCGAACATAATCCCTAAACATCTACAATTTTATCCAAAGGTTAAAAAAATGTATACCTAGCTATCCTTGGTGGTAGTGATTCGTGTGAAACATTAGTCTTTAACACTTCCACTTGAGCTGCTATCGTAGAAGGAAAGATATCATTCCTAGATATTTGGAATCATGGGTCTATAGAATCTTCGATCTTGGGGATCTCTGATCATTATTACTCTCTTGTTTCTTGCTCATCTATCCAAAAAGTAATTCGAACCAACAATACTCCTTAATCATCCGAATATAACTTAATGGATGATTAGGATGACCATCATGCAACTCACCATTACTTAATCTTCATTGTCTAATAAGGATCATTAAGTTGTTTTGTGCTTATTTCACGATCTTCCAACCGCATGTCATCTTGGATGGCAACTCCGATATATAGCGTTTAATCATAAGTACAAGCCATGCACATTTTATTATTTCTTCATGGATCGACCAACTTGTTAAAATCTTTCATCGCTAACCAAAGGTACACTAGCTACCGAGGCATTATTTATGACAACATAATCCCTATTTACTTGGTAATGCATACAAACACCGACTTGTATAACGCTTTTTAGGACCACATGTTTTGGGTAATGTCGTAATGAGACGTTTTCTTAATAATCTTGTTTTTGGTTGGATGACAAAACTCATATACAAAAAACCTTGCAAATCACCATTACTCATTTTTAGTACAGAGTTCGACAAGATGGTGTCGTATACCAATGTAACCATGAAAGCTTTCAAAAACTCATGAAAAAAATGTGATTTGAAATTATTTAAAAGTCATATTAACTAACAAAATTTTGTTTGAAGCACACGATCCCAAATAAGGCTTTAAACACCAAATATTTTTATTGTCAACTAAATTATTATATAATCATTTTTGTAGTTATTTTCTTATTTTTATGATTATCTCTTTTTTATATTTATTGTCGATATACTTTGGTTTGTTTGGCGGAGATGGACCAAATCAAAGATCAAGTTTTTAATATATCTTGAATTAGAAAATTTGTTTGAAAAAAATTCAACAAATCAAGACCATTTGCTCTTAATGGAAGGGTTAGATCGGATGGTCACTAATTTTTCATGGTAGTTGCATAATCCAACAAAAAGAAATAATTTTATCTATATATTGTTACGATTATAATGTAACTTAAATTTATATAAAAATAGTATATGAACGAAAGAATGAATCAAGAGGAAACTTTGGCATGGATGATGTGAATTTAAAGTTTAGGTCTATAACTTGTTTAAAAAATTTACAATAAAGTATTTGAAGGGATCCTAACCAATATAAAAATGTGTCTAATAATCATATTTTTTTTTTATATAATGTAGACAAATAAAATAAATATCTCCTACAACCCAAATAACGTTTTTATCGGTTTCAATTGAACTCCAAAAAAATTCATTTAAATTTTTACCGCCTCTAACAAAAATGGTGCCAAAAAAGAAAAAAGAAAAAAGAAAAGGAAAAAAAAACGGTTTGAAACGGACTAACAGACTCCCTCTCTCTTAACGTCTCCACCTATATACATGCGCGCACACACACGCAGTCACAGTCACACACACACTTCACATCTTCAGAGTTCAGACGCCATTGATACGCTAGGTTTCTTCCATTCAGTTTCTCTTATTCCTTGGTTATGGCAATGCAGATTCTTCTTCCAACCCCACCGCCACCACCTCCGCTGCTTCTACCACCTGAACACCGGTCTTCACTCTACGCCGGAGACCTTCACCCAGACATCACTGATAACGAACTCTATCACCTTTTCTCCATGATCGGCCCAGTGTATTCTGTTCGCATCTGCAGAGATCGTTTCTCCCATAAATCCCTTGGCTACGCTTACATCAATTTCTACCTCCATTCTCACGGTAATCACAATTCACAAATTAAACAACTGAATCTCTTTGGTTCTTTGTTTGTTGGTTTATAATTATTTTCGTTTGTGGAATTCTTTATTTGATTGAACAATTTAACAGCGGCTGTGGCGTTATCTCGATTGAACCACTTTGAGTTGAGAGGAAAACCCATAAGGCTAATGTGGTGTCAACGAGATCCGCTTACGAGAAAAACTGGAGTAGCGAATTTGTTCGTGAAGAATCTTGATCCGTTCGTCACAGATGCTAAATTGGAGAAGATTTTCGGAAAATTTGGGAGGATTCATTCTAGTAAGATCGCCAAGGACGACAACGGTAACAGTAAGGGTTTCGGTTTTGTTCAATTTGATTCAGAAGAATCCGCTAATGATGCTCTTACTGCCCTAGACGGAACCACATTTGAAGGAAAGATCATGTATGTTTCTAAACTATTCCTCTGTTTCTTCTCAATTTGTCATGCTAATTCTTTACTTCAAATCTTGCTGTTCATTAAACCCCATCTTCAGATCTCGATATATGTTCATGGGTTTTAACTAGTTTTTTCCGATTTAATTCATCTCATATTACCACTTAATTCTTTTTATAACATTCTATTTGATGTTCTAATCACATTCTAAACGATGATTTATTCTCAAGATCTGTCGCCAAGTTTCTCAAGAAAAGCGAGAGGAAGGAGCCCGAATTTACAAACGTGTATGTGAAAAACCTTGAATCGGATTTCACGGAAAGTCTCCTGAGAGAAAAGTTTTCTGAATACGGAAACGTCACAAGTGCTGTAATCATGAGCGATGCCGATGGGAAATCAAGAGGTTTTGGATTCGTCAACTTTGAGTCACACGATAGTGCAAAAAAGGCCATTGAGGCTCTAAACGGTGTCATAATCGGTACAATAAACATCTTAATTTTACACCGTATCTTGCTAACTTTAGGTCATTTCATGATTCAATTTGACGCTCGAATTAAAAACAGGATCAAAGGAACTGTTCGTTGGAAAGGCCATGAAGAAATCCGAAAGAGAAGGGTTCCTGAAACAGGCTCATAAAAAAGACACCAAGAAGAACACGTCAAATCTTTATGTGAAAAATCTTGCTGCATCTGTAGATGAAAAAACTCTTGAAGAAACTTTTGGCGCTTTTGGGAACGTGGTTTTAGCCAAAGTGGTTCGCTATAAAAACGGAATCAGCAAAGGATTTGGTTTCGTGTGTTTCTCAAATCAAGAAGAAGCAACCAAAGCTCGTGATTCACTTAATGGTGACCAATTTAATCATTCATCTTATCTTCATTATTCTTAAATTTCTCATAGTTAATGTCACACTTACTTAAATATATAATATATTCAGGAAAATTTTACCATGGAAAATACTTGAATGTTGGCATTGCTCTGAGTAAAGAAGAATGTGCTCAAAAATTACAGGCTCGTTTTGGATCTCAATACATCCCACCATATCACAGTATGAGTATGCCATCATTTGTTCGAACACCAGTTGTCTATGATCCATCATACTGGCAATCAAATGTTTATGGACGTATGCAAGTTTTTCCAAATTATAAACCTAAAGAAGGTGTTTACTCGAGCTATGATAAGGATCAAAAGATTCAAAACCCGTTGATGAACTATGAAGCTTACTTCCCAAAAGGGTCATCAGCCAACAAGGCTAATCATGATCAGGTAGGTTTGTCAATTTACTTAATTAGTTTTTTCACTGTTTTTAATCAATTTTGTGTGTTTTGATTTGGCAGGGTCTGAAGAGGTCTAAAATGTTGTGGGAGATGAAAAATGGTGAATTGCAGGTGTCAGGGAAGAAGAAGGCGTTTGGGAAGGTGCAAGTTAATGGGCATGGGCATGGTTTAGAGGGGAAATTGAGCTACTGATTCAGAACTCAGAAGTGGTTTTTAGTTTTTGTGTAGAGATTTCTTTTCTTGTGGTTTTGTGTGTTGTTGTTTCGTGTTTGAAGGTTTTAATCTCAAGAATGTTGTAATCAAACTCTTTTGACTTGTTCACTAATGCTTGTTATGCTTCGTCTTCGCTTAATTGGATTGTGAAACTTGAATCAAAACATAGAAAATGGAATTTCGAACTTGTTTGGGATTGTGATTTAAAATTATTATCTTTTCACGTAACTAAATAAAGTAATAAACGTTGTAATATTATTTTATTAGTTGTGAGACTTATGTATTATATGAGTTAATTTAAAAAAAAAAAATTAAATATAAATGTTAAAATATTTGACAGCTTTAAGTTTATAAGAAAATAATAAAAATAATAATTTATTATAATGAAAATATTTTTTATCTTTTAAATTTAAACAAATAAAAAGAAACTAATGATCTTTGATTTTAAGAATTTTGAAATTAAAATATAAGTTTGTTAATGAAGTTGATATCTATTTAATATTATATGAAATTTAATAAAATAGAAAAACTCATAAAATGACATGTGAAAAAACATTAATTAAAAATAACCATAAAATGACATTTGAAAAATTAAATGAAAGTGTAACAAGTGACAAAAAAACCTTTATTTATTAGAAAGAAGTTATTATTACACTCTTTAGAGCCTCAAATAATGTATACATAACACAACAGATACGATAACATTAATCTCCTTATCTTGAATACTAAAAATAAGTAAATCAAGAAGCTTTTGTTTAAGATGTGAATATAACATTAAGTATAGTGTTATTACCATCCCTTATCGAGAAAATTAACAATGATTCATCATTATGAGATGAAAATCATAAAAAGTTAAATAGACCCACGAACAGATATCATATCATTGGATTTGTTAAATATTAAGAATTAAAGAAAAGAATTAAAAAGTACGAAGAAATTGTGAAACTACCGAAAAGGTACATAATTTTTCTATAAAGTGTAGTTATATTTAGGGCTATAAAAGCATCATTAGTAAGTCATGTTGTTCGAAAATAAATATCCACGAAACAAAGCGGGAGGAAATATTCCTCGAGGTTGACAAGCACGAGGTCTTATTTGGCAAGAGGAAATTTTGTCTTATTACCGAGTTCCATTTTAATAATTATTTCGCTACTGCTTCGTTTGGTAAGGAGTTCCGATTACATGAGTTTTCTTTAGTCAAAATGGGAGACTTCGTGAAGTTTCAACATGTATATGAGGTACTTGAAAGTTGAAAAATCATTTGATCCGTTAACATTGAAAAGCATTTCAAATAAAACAATTATCAGACTCCAATCTCAAAGATCACATATTCTGGGAAACACAGGTGTATGCGTTGCGATTGTCCCGAACTCTTTCATTTGAAAATTGGAGTACCTGAAACATAAACAAAAAACTGTGAATACAAAGCTTAGTGAGTTCATCAAATACCACATACCATACTAGAAATATACGATAAACATATAATGGGCCCCGCCCGGCTTTGGACCCCGTTCGGCATCGACCCCCGCCTGGCATTAAGCTGAGCTCGATAAAACGGTCCTCGCCCAACGTACAATAACATATATCAAATAAACACATACACATGCAATAATCACAAAGATACATAGCATATAGATATCCCTCAGGCCCCGCCCGACATCGGGCCTTAGCCCGGAAGACATATAAACACAAACAGATGCAAGAGTCACAAAGACAACTAGCATACTATAATATAAACATGGTCCGGCCTTGGTGTCTCCTGCTAAACCCAGTAAGGAAACTCACCTCGAATGCAAAAGCACACTGAAAGAAATCCCTAGTTGCTGTCCCGACGACACCTCTAAACTGTCAACTCAATAACAACACCCAATTAACAATTAGGTTCCAAATCCATATCCACAACTTCATATATGGGGTAAAAAGACTATTTTACCCTTAACCTAGCCTTGTCCAAATTATGACCCAAACTACAATCCGAAAGACCCAAAGGCCAACTAAGAAAATTAGGCCCAAACCCTATATATGGCCTTGCCTTAAGGCCCAACCATTATTTTTCTAGTCCAAACACTTTGCATCCCGATGGCCCACTAATAACTCAAGCTCAACATGCTAGAAACTTCCAGATCCATAAAAGCCCACTAATGTCCAAATTGGGCCCAACCCCATATGGGCCTTATCTTAAGCCTATATTTCCCTTAAATACAATTCAGATTACCACAAATACCCCTTGGGACAAACTAGGTCAAATACATAAGTCAGAAGTCAAAATCAACGACCCCATCTGACCCAACTCATTGAGTTTCCTTCATAAGGCTGCAAAAAATCGAGAAGAATCGATCCAACTCGCCGAGTTCACCTAAAAACTCGCCGAGTTCATCAGGAACCAAACATCTTAACCCGTTAAGCCGACATAATCAAAACTAACAGCTTCCCTACTCAAATCTTAATTGAAATAGCATCTAGAAGGGTAAAGTTTCCAATTTTACCCCTAGGGACCAACCAAGTGGGCTCAAAACCTAAATCCTAAAGTTAAAAGGTTAAGGGCTTACTCAATAATTACTTAACCACCAAGACAAAGCCCCAAAATACATATTTGATCCTTTAAGGCTGCATGGCCACATAAACTTCCCAACTTTACACTCATGCATGGCTAGGAGAGGCTCAAAAGCTCCTAAGAGACTAAAAGAAGAGTTTAATAGATGCATGAAGCCCTTAAGACCATAAAGTAAGCACTTTGGACTTTTATTTCCCCAACAATCACCCATCCATGGCTAAAAGCATGCAATTTAACCAAATAAGATATCCAGTTAAATATTAAGCAAGGTTAGAACTTTATACCCAAGATGTGCTGGAAATGAAACATAAAATAGATATCTAAAAGCTCTTACTTGAACCACCACCTTGCACCAAACTTTTCTTCCCTTCAATGAGCTTCCAACACACCAAAACACACCTACAATGAGATCACAACACTCAAGAGGCTCTAGGGTTTCGAGATTAGGGTTAAGGGCTATGGAGGGTGGGGAACGAGGCCACCACCTGGAACTTAAGGTGTTTAAATAGGTTGCAAAACCTAAAAGATTAGGGTTTATCAATAGCGTCCAGCTCATCGAGTTCCCTTCACCAACTCGACGAGTTGGTCCTTAGAACACGATCCCGAAAGGCTTCCAACACGATGAGTTTATGCCATAAACTCGACGACTAGGCCCCTAAAAAGGGAATTTTGTCCATAATTGATCTTCTAGATTTCGGGTGTTACAGTAATTAATGGATTTATTTATGATAAAGATACCCATAGGGCAAGGGGTTTAGGATATGTTATAAAGTTAGTTTTTGACATTTTTACATATTCATCACATCAAAATGAAAGGAAAACGACCTCAAAAAGTGACATACACCCTATAAAGGATTATATACACTTTTAAGGTATTATAATTCTTTTAAAGTTATTTTTTAGAGTAATTTTATTTATTAATACCATGATATGTTAATTCAACAGATTTGGATTTTGGAGACATTTCCGTTTACCCAATCATTTGGTACTTCAACACTAGATATGATCCTTTAACCTTTGCATGGTCCTAGGTGTTTACATGGAATGGTTGCTTGGCGACCCTTGATGTTCGACATGAGTGATTATTGGCATTTTTTTTACTATATCGTGTGTGTGTGTGTGTGTATATATGTATATATACACACACACATGTCGTTAACAGTTAGTTACATATTGTATTATGCAAATAATATGTCGAGTGGTTTTCTTATAGCTACACTGAATTGCTTAAAATCACCTTTCATCTCTTCATATCATGCTTCTTTGGCATCGACCATCATCAACATAAATTTAAACATGCCCCATGCCTTAAGCTCATTGATGGAGCTTGAAGGATGGCTAGATCTGAGAACAAATTTTGACATGTTAGAAGGCATTTTCATATTATGAATTTTGCTTTGAAATATGTCATGAACGACTTTTGTTGTGAAATATTCAAAATGTTTAAATATATGTTGAATATAGTGGTAAACGTGAAATCTAATGAATTTAGTGCGTTAAACTATGTTGATATACTAATAAAATAATATGTGGAGGTAAACTTGTTAGTACTAATAACAAAGTTTGTTGGGTATTGATGTAATAGCAAAACTATATGTTTTATAAAATTAATTTTTTTAAGGAAGGATTGTAATTAAGATATTTGTATATATAATTTAATTTTGAACCCCCTTAATCAAGAGTTCTTTGTTCTATTGGACCACCTCTAATTTTGTTTTTTTTTTTGTTTTGTTTTTTTAATATGTCTGCCTACTATCCCATAAAAATGAGATTAGTGTATTTTCCACTGTTCGTAGAGGAAACCACGTGTATTTACTCTAAAACCGATTGGTGTCATACATACCTGTCCTCCAACCACCACTTTAATTCTGACGACCTTCCACATCCTTCCTACCACCATTCCATCTCTTTCTTCCTTCCACAGAAAATCCCTAGGTCGGTCCGTTCCTCCCCAATCACTTAGACAAAAACATTGGAGAAAAGATTTGTGAGAATCACCACCACCATCGTACTTTTCCTCTATTTTCCTCTATATGTTGATTTAGGGAAGATGGTCACGCTACCCACCACTGCTCCAAGGTCGAAGCCAACTATCTAGAAACCCTCCACGCTACCCACCACTGCTCTAAGGTCGAAGCCAACTATCTAGAAACCCTCCACGCCGTTATCACCACCGATGTAACCATGGACCATGATTTCACAACGTTTCAAGGTTACTATTCTTTAAACCATATGCGCCCCTGTACGCAACGACTTCTAGCTATAAACATCACCGTTGCTCTCGATTTCAGGCCTTAAACCCCCTCCCTGCGCTTCCGATCGGATATGAAGGGTTGTGAAAACTGAACAAAATGTGTTCTTCAGGTTCTACTATTGGGTAAACCTTCACCTATCGTCTTCTCCTTTTTTCTTCACCAATACTAATATTTTTGACTTCGCTATCTTTCAATAAATGGAATTCAAAGTATGTATACATCTATCTTTTCCTTAATTGTTTTTTCTTCAAAAAGCTAGTAATCTAGGGCTTTTGAGCTCATATCCCGTGAGTTACGAACTTTTTG